TTTTGTTTAGTGACCATTCAAAGTTGGAATGCCACTGGAAAAAAAATGTGTGACTTACGATCGTTTTTCACACTTAGAGCATCCCCCCTCCATAGTCCCATGATCAAAATCCAGATGTTTTGACTCATATTGATGAGTGCCCTGGGGGGGCGGGGTCACGCGGTCCCCTAACAACCGGGCTGCTAACTTAAGAACCGCCGTGATTCATTGAACAACGGTGGCAAGAAAAGTCATAACATGGGGCAAAACAGCAGAAGAAATTTTAGTCGCGACTGTGCTCGTAAGTCCATAAACGGCGACACTACCCCGCCCGTGTTCCTGTTTGCCAAGATGGTTTATTTTATTGATTAAATTTATTTGCCTTCCATTTAGGGGCCCTGCTCCTTAGCTGCGGCGACTTTACTACCTTACCTGTATCTCTACGTCTTCCTGGACTGGTCCAGCCATGTGAATCTCCTCCAGGCTAGGCAGATTGTCCTCTGTAAGAAAGACCTTGTATTCCAACCGGTTGTCTTCTAAGATCGAAGGGTAGGTGACGTTTACAGAAATGAGTCCTCTCCCAGCGACGGTGTATTGCCCTTGAATTTTCACAGCTAAGGTTAACAGAATAACAAGAGTTGGAAGGGACCTTGGAGGTCTTCTTGTCCAACCCACAACTCCAGTAGGAAACCCTTGAGTAACTTCCAGTGATGGAGCACCCACAACTTCTGAAGGCAAGCCACTCCACTGGTTAATTGTTCTCCCTATCAGAAAATTTCTCCTTAGTTCTAGATTGGTTCTAGGTTCTCTGGTTAGTTGTCATCCATTGTTTCTGGTCCTGCTTTGGAGAAGGGGAACAACTAAGCTCAGAGAACCCCAAGGAGCCCACAGAGAAATAAGCTGCTTTATTACAGATATTTGGGGAAGAACTCCTACAGCAGGACATCAGATTCAAGCCCTGTCAGTTTGAATCTTGTCTTCCTATCCTTTAAAATAATCCCTGACTATTCTCTTCCTTTACTCAAGAGACAGAGACATTTGTCCCATGGCTGGCTGCGGAATTCTGGGAGTTGAGGTCCACAGGTCTTCAAGTTGACGAGGTTGGACGCCCCTGCTCTAAAGGCTACAAGGGATCTCCTCCCATGGGACAATCCATGGAGACGTCCTTCTGGGCAATCGCCCTTATCCTGCTAAACCAATTCTGGGCATCAGTGACTCACCCATGTGGGTGAAGAGGGGTTTCCGGTTAACCACGTGGACTGAGGTGATGTTCGGAGACAGCATCAGGAAGGTGGTGTACTCTGAAAGAGAAGACAAGTCAGAGGAGATACGGTAGAAGATCGTTGTGAAGACCTCAACCAGGACAACGAAGAGCTTGAGTAACTTGGAGGTAGAGAAAGTGAGAATGGAAGGAGGCTCTATGTCTCCCATCCAGCCTTTGAGGTTCCTCAAAGCATCCAGTTGGCCACTGGGTCACCCCAAAGGTGAGGGACCTTCATAATCCAATCCCGCAGGTTTATTTTGAGGTCCTCAACTTAGAAACCATTTGTTTAGCAACCATTCAAAGTTACGACGGCACTGAAAGAAAACCCCAACTTTACGTCAGGTCCTCACGTTTACAACTGTTGCACCGTTTTTGTGATCAGGTGAACAAAATCTGAGTGCTTAGCAACCGATAACGTATTGATGAGAGTTGCAGAATTCCGTAGTCACGTCAATGCCCCGTTTGGGACTTTCCCAGCCGGGTGCGAAGAAGCAAAGCGAATGGGAGAGACCAGATTTCCCTAACAAGTAAGGTGATCCAGTTAACAGCCATCAGAGAAAGGTTGTAAAATTGGGGGCAACTGAATTAACAATCCAATTGGCAATAGAGAGGATAGAATGGAGCGATACCTCTCGCTTTTCCCTCGGTGAAAAAGCCGTTCACATTAATGCAGGATGTGGCGTCTCCCCCGCATACTTGACACGGATCCATCTTCTTTCCGGAATCCATCCGGCCGTCACATCCAAACATCTGAAGGAAAGGGGGGGAAAAAATGAGCCGAAATGGCTTGCTGGGAACAATGGATCTAGAAGCCAGCCTGGCCTATGGCGTCCTCTGTAGGTGCTGCATCTCCCAGAATTCTTTGGGCCATGCAAGGCTGAGAATTCTGGGAGATTTACTCGTAGAGGATTAAACTGTTTCAACCTTTAGTTTTGGGAAAGCTGGGGATTCCGAAAGCATGAGGATTATGGCCCAAGAAAATGAACGGTGGGCAAGAATGTCCCCACTCCAAAATAGACAAGAGGTGGAAAAAAAATACTACTCCAAAAGCCACTCTAATTCCATCCTTTGATGATCTGGGAAGGAATAAAAAGAAGCAGTATTAATAAGGAGACCTTAACTGTGACTGGACATTGAAGGAAGGAAAGAAGAGAATTTGGAAGTCCTTCACCCTTACCCTGCAGCTGCCCATCACACACAAAGCAAGGGTATCCTTGTCCACTAGGCTGCTTTTCTTGCATCTTGTCCCATCAATGAATCGGTCCCCACGGCTCACCATGAAGTTCTTCCCAGCTGCCTGGCACATGTATTGGCACAGAGCATCTCCTGGGTGGAGAAGACAATGGAGGAACTCAGATAATGGAGGAGGAGGAGGGAAGAGGAGGACAAGGAGGTGGAAAGAAGGAAGGAAGGAGGAGGAGGAGGAGGAGGAGGAGGAGGAGAAGGAGAAGAAGAAGAAGAAGAAGAAGAAGAAGAAGAAGAAGAAGAAGAAGAAGAAGAAGAAGAAGAAGAAGAAGAAGAAGAAGAAGAAGAAGAAGAAGAAGAAGAAGAAGAAGAAGAAGAAGAAGAAGAAGA